AGAGCGCGTCCTGCTAGAGAAAGCAAGAGAGGCTTCCAGCAAAAACTGTAAAACAACCAAATACCGACAAAAGCACACTTACCGAAACGGTAGTGATGCAGCACCAGGGACAGATGACAGACCCCGATATGAACGAAGAACCAAGCGAGGAGACAGCCACCAGGCAGGCAGTCACGCCACTCAGCAGCCTGAAAGCAGTAGCTGACGCGACTTGCGAGGCTGACCTCGAGGCATTGCTTGAAGAATACAACGAGCATGTTTTCCCGCACAAGCTGATGTACGACGAAGAAAGTAGGCGCTACTGCGTTAAATACCACTGGGAAACCGTCAATAAAAAAGACAAAACACCAGAAGAAACAGAAGCGGGCCGACTTCGTGACAAATTCTATGAGGAATTTAATGCGGCCCTGATCCAAATTCGCAAGAGAAACTGGAATAACGGCACTCCTAGGAGACGAGGCCGCCGCCAATTCTAAAAGAGCCGCAGAAAGAGCCCACCGAACAAGCCGCCATCTTTACGGACAGCCTAAAACACAACAACCAACAACTGGACGGCGTGTCGACGTACCGGAGCCACTCCCACCCGACCCGCCCACTGGCAAAAAATTATGTAATCACCACTGAGCTAACCAAAATCTTAATATAGTTTATTTTCAGGAAAAAGAAGACAACAGAATATACCACAGGCCGCCCGACGCTCCGACGCAGACAGCCGAGGGCACTGCACCTAAGGGGACCAGCACTTGGGAATCCCAGTCACCGTCATGCCACCCCACCCCACCCCACCCCCACGTGTATGTTAATAAATGCATCTCTATTGTATTTCAGATCAGATTTCAGACCAAGTGACCTCAGCCGACCAGGATGGATCCTGCCTCTATCTGTCACTCTCATTCTCCCGACCTCACTATCACATCTACTGGCACATTCGGGCAAACTGACCTCTCATTTGCAGTCTATCTTACGTCCACTACTTCTCCACACTCCGTGGAAAAAAAAAAATTTTTTTTTTTTTTTTTTTTTTTTTGGGGCCGATCACAACAACAGATTGTGACGGCCCTGGTTGTCCTGAAAAGGAACATTGTGCATCGACGGGGCAACGGATATTTGTTTGGCTTTTTCCGGCGGCTTTTAGATCGGCAACCAAGCAGCAACAGGGCACCAGTACAGCGACCAGCACGAGGCAAACCAAGCACCAGCAACAGTCAGCTAGTACCCTTCAATATCATCGCAAAGAGATCTGGAACACACCAGAACCCAAAACCGCAAACAACGCAGCAAGGAAGCAAACAACAATAATATCAGGTGTGTCTACACACCACAAGTAAAAGGAAA